TGCATTAGTTGGTCAATACTAATTGGCTTCTGCTACCAGCAACTTGCACCAGTGGAAATCTTCCCACGCATTCCAAAATAGCACAAACTGCTCTTTATCAGTAATGCAAGTGGCTTTTATAGTGCCTGCATATAACCTAATGCTTGGTTCCATACAACTGAAATTAAAAAGGAACAAAGACTGTGGTCACAACTTTGTCTCAGCAAGCACCTTGTAAGTAAACTGATGGAACAGCCTGGGACTCCAGCTAAGTGGCCTGTTAAACACTAGTCTTGCTGCGTTACGACTAGCAGCCTTGTTGCAGCTTCCAGCACTACATTCTGTGCAGCAATACCTCTGCCTTAGGAATTAAGAAATTCCTTCTCAAAGATTTGCTCAAGTTTTAAGATGTTGCACAGCTCAGAAGTGGAAACCAATTTACCTCTCGCTCACTTTTCTAGGAAGATTCAAGCTGTGGTAGCACAGCTCTCCAAACAATGGATTTTGTGGATATTGGTGCATTTTGAGGGGTCTTCTTAATAGATTAAGCCATCTAATCCTCTTCTGATGAAAAGTTTTTCAACAAGACTTCTTGATCCACTGAACGCATGGAATAGAATTCTGCTCTTAGTGGTGTCTGTGCCTGCTCTCCTACAAGTCACACACCAAGGCTGAACCTCGAGTCCTGCCTCAGATGTGCTCAGAATTGCACCAAAAGGCACTACCGAGTGTGAAATACAGGAACACTGCAGAAAGCAGTTATCACAACACTTGTAATGTTTGGGTGCTTGGGATTTCTTTTTTTAAATTTAAGAGTTTTAAGTGTCTTTGAATTAATTTCAGCGCTGCTTTGTTTCTTGGATAAAGAAGGCAGGAGAAATTCTGTTTATAAAAAATAAAAAATAGCTGTTTTTAATGCCAGCATCAAGATATTTGCAACAAATGAGTGACTTAGACCACTCCACTGGTGGTACTTACCACATGCATTGGAAGAATGTTTCAGTACAGTCTCACGTACTCAGTATAAGCTAATGAACTCAGAGCCAATTCCCGTATTAGTAAGGAATCCCAAGGAATTCTACTTCACTGAAAAGTGGTCCTGAAGAACATTCTCACTTTGTTAAGCAAAATAAACCAGTCTCCTGCACACCAGTGAGGATATGTTAGGTAGGTATTTATGCCATTACCTCATACATCTCAGAAATATTGACACAATTCAGCCGCTATCATCACACCCCATCTTCACCCTCTGTTTTTACAAGGCACTACTCAAGTTTGCTTTCAAATTGTGAAATAAAGACTTCTGAGTCATCTCCCTCACTGTTAAGAAAATCAATCACATTATAAACCAAAAATAAGGTACTGTCATTGAAACAGGCAGACCATCAAACTCAGCAAAAAATGTTTCAAGTCAGAACTGCCAGCCCAGCTGCCACTCTTGCTACAGCTCTTTTCACACCACAATGATCTGCTGTAATTGGGTAGAAACCAGCCTAATCAGTCACTGCTCAGTCACTCCAGGTACAGGTTGGAAATAATGATTCACTATTATTCTGTTCTTCACACCTGGATTACAGAGAAGAGAAAGTATGTTAAATAAGTACAAAGAAAGAAAGCCTTTTCCCATAGCCTGTTGAGAAGAATGGAGGAAAAAAAGCAGGCTGTTGTCTCTGTAGACAGTGTGAGATAGGTGACCAGACTTCTGCAGCCAACGATGTTTTAGGCTTGTGACAGCTGCTGGTAGACTTTCATCCATCAGGGTTCAGTGCCTGAGATTACAGATTACAACCACTGCCTTTAGGAGCATAGAGCTCCATACAGAAAGGCTGCAGGTTTTCAGAATGTGGACTTGTTTCACTTCATATTAAACTTAAAATTTATACACAGAAATAGCCATATTAAATAAACAGATACATACCTAAGTTGTGTATATTGAACAAGTCCAAACAGCTACTAGCTAGCTTTCATAAGAGCAAGAATGCAACACTGGAGCTAAGGGTATGTCGGACAGTAATTACTTTTGTTCCACTTCTGCATACTTCAGAGCTTCTAAAATCTTTCTGCTGAAAAATGGAACACTATTTACCTTTTATTAGAAGGTTAACAAAGTCACACATGGACACAGATTTTCAAATGGAACACAGTTAACAGGGAAAACACATAGGGTGTTTCTATAGAAGGAATTACTGCTGCCACAGTGCAAAGAAAAATGGTGATACATGTAAGGAACCAAACTAGTCAGGTACACAACATATAAAAAGTTATGCCTTTGAGTTTTAATGATAAAGTCTGAAATGTGCAGTGAAATATCCAACCATCACTCCTCAAATTTTCACAAGCTCACTTACTCACACCATTAAGTTGACAGAGAGAAAGAAAGTATTGAAAAAAATTCCTCCTTCCGCATCCTCACACTTTAATATATTACAGTGTCCTCCTGTTTTGCCATCCGCTTCATCTCTGCATTAGTACTGGATAGAATTTCTAAGCTGTACTCAGGAATTTCCCGTTTTGCATAACTTGCCCAAAATCAGAAATAGGGATAGACATAGATACACAGATACATACATCACTTTCCTTTTTCTCCCACAAAACAAGTAAATAAGAAAAAAAAAAAAAAAAAAAAAACAACAAAAACCATAGGAGTTCACTTTTAACACTGCCTCTCTCCTGGAAGAGAGAGCAAGAAAAAAAGCGTATTTGTGATGAATTAGAACACTTTCAACTCGAAGAAAATCCAGCTCTGTTTCCTGCTCTGTTTTGCTCAGCTTTGAGCAAACTATTCCATATAACGCCTCAAGGTTTGGGAAGCTTCCTATGAGCATTCACAAGTTCACACTGTGAATTCTTGACAACTACCAAAAACTGACAGTCAGAAGTCACACAATGCTAAAAGAAAGCTTCCCCATCTCCTTGGGTTTAATGCTGTAAGCCCTCATATACAGATGTTTATCTGCTTACACAGCACTCCACACTGTGGCACACTGACATCTCATACACATCCACAATTCCAGTGGCACTGAGAAATCCAGAAGCTGGACACAGTAAGCAAGAGTCCACAGGCAATAAATACAGGACTTGTACTGAAGAGAAGCAATATACACGAGCAAGTAACCACTCACACTGCACAAAAGACACCCTTTGAACCACAAGAGGTACAAGGATACATCACCTTTCCTTTGTTTCCACTGAGCTGAGGGGAGAAATCTAACTCCACAGTGAAAGGCTGTCATCCTTTAAAAAATTGCTGGGAAGAGGTCAAAGCTTCCTTCGTAACCAAGAGCAAGCAATTACAAAGTGGAATCAGTTCCTAAGCGATGCAGAGGAGCTAAGATTGCTAATTAGGCAACGCAAACATCTCTGCTTTCCCCATCATGCTACCTCTTCTTGTCCTACCCTTAGTTACACCAGTACTCCTCCTGGATCAAGCCGCCCAAGTTTGGAGGCCAACCAGTGTGAAGTCAGTTTCAACAGCTATTGAAATGCCCCTTAGGTGTCAGAGGACGGCATCTGGACTGCAAACTGGACACAGCTTGCTCAAGCATTGGCATCAAGGCCAGCAAGAACTAACTCTTAGTAACATAGTTACACCCCATATTTCCATACAGTTTCACCAGATCAAAACTGAATGCCTTCAGAAAAACCTAAACTAAGTGTTAACCATAGAATCACAGAATGGCCTGGGTTGAAAAGGACCACAATGATCACTAAGTTCCAACCCCCTGCTATGTGCAGGGTCACCAACCACCAGACCAGGCTGCCCAGAGCCACATCCAGCCTGGCCTTGAATGCCTCCAGGGATGGGGCATCCACAACCTCCTTGGGCAACCTGTTCCACTGCGTCACCACCCTCTGGGTGAAAAACTTCCTCCTGATACCTAACCCAAACCTCCCCTGTCTCAATTTAAGACCATTCCCCCTTGTCCTATCACTACCCACCCTCATAAACAGCCATTAAGCCAATCTTCATCTCCTCATTTTTTACTGTGAAGTAGGAAAAATACAAATACTCTATCCCTAAAAGGCATCAAACTCATACAATATTTAAGAAAGAAAGAAGTGAAAAAACATTTGATGGTGTTGTCCACGTACAAAAAAACAAGACACAATGAAAATCTATAACTGTAACTCCTCCTAAGCCATAGGCTTTTGTAGGCTGGCATATTATAAGTAAAAGTTGTTTAGAAAATCATGTGCAAGTCACTGCACTACACAGACCAGCAATCTTTGAGATAATATTCTTCAAATTGCCTTTGACCATATACATGCAATAAAACAGCCAATGAAAACCATCATTTCAACAGGATATAAAATTCTTTTGTATTTTCACAAAGGCACTCATTGTATAAACCGTTCCCTGAACAATGACCCAAACATCTGCACCAACGGACGCCTGCTAAATAACACTCCTTGGTCATGACAGCAGCCATCTGCTCACCTCACTAACCAAACAGCACTGTTTTTGTGCACCTTACACATCCTCACACCGCTGTGGCAGTGGTTGTTTCTCACCTTTCTAACCCACAACAGCACGGCGTTCATCGCACCGACACTTAAACACACTTACACTGGAAGGGCTCCGACTGCCAATGACAATTCCCACTGGTCTTTGTTACAAACACAACTGGACCACAGCCTCAATTGCACAGAAATGGGATTTGTAAACTTTTCAGCTATTCCTGCCCCGTTAAGACTTGCTTTTTCCTTCCTTCCAATTTGTTACACTTAGTCTAAGTTATCCTTGAGTCTGAGCATCACTCATTTTGAAGAGTACGCTGCATGGAGTTTGTACAGCCAGCTTCACCCAAACCTCACGCTATATTTCTACAGGTCACCTGCCGTACCTAAGAACCAGATCCTGCCATTCCAAAACCCACCCGAGCAGCTCCGCGGGCTCAGCGCTCTGATCGCACGCGCAGAGCTGCGCCCCGCCGGACCGCGCGGTGCGGGCAGGGAGGGGCGGCGGATCCTTCCGTGCCCACGGCAGCCGCCCGCGCAGGAAGAAGCGGGGAGCTCCGTACCTGACCCAGTTGTCGCGGAACTTGCTCTGCTGGGGCTGGTTCACGTAAATGGTGCGGGCTGGCGCCTCGTCCAGATCCGCCGAAGACGTGGCTCCGGACATCTCATCATCCGCCTTCTTGTATCCCGTGGGGGAACACACCGGTCCTGCGGGAGAGCGGGGCGGTCAGCGCGGGGCCGCCACCATCCATCCATCCATCCATCCATCCATCCATCCATCCATCCATCCA